ACATAGGAAGACTATCCTCAAAAACCCCAAACAAACAAACAAACAAACAAACAGAAATGTTAGTAATTCTCACATGATTTCTACTTAACATAGTCTCTATGTTTCCTATGCTAGGTGGCTCCACACAATCACCACTGAAGAGTACCTAAATTTAAAATTAGGCAATCGAATGTCAAGTACGCTATGTAAAAATTGGTCAAACTCTTAAATTCGTATCATAGATATAATTTAGTGGGGTTTTTTTTTTTTTTTGAGGTTTTACGTATTCTATGGAAATAAAACTAGTATTAATAAATAACACAATCAGGCCAGATTGTGGAACAGCACTAACATAATTGGACTCACATGACAAGGTCCTATGTTCACATCCCAGGCATGCATGGGTGAGCCTATGATTCAGGCCAGTTAATGCTGGGGGGGCTTGCAGTGTGAGTACCCTGTTGAAAATGCATCTTTCCATCTCTCTCCTTTTCTCTCTCTCTCACAGAAGAAATAAATGAACTTAAAGAAAGAAAAAAAAATTTGACATTTTCTTTTATTCTTCAGGAAAAGACCAAAAAAAGTAACTTGAGGGCCTAGAAGTAAATTATTCTTTTATGGTGTCAGCCTTACTTTTTTTTTTTTCCTGGTTATAATATATTTAAAATCCTCCAAAGAGAGAACATTATTTTCACTTTTAAAACCATAACTTATGTCTGATGATATGGAATAAACATGCTGAATGGTAAAGTTTTATAGACTTGCACCTAGAAGTTCTACTTGATCGAAATGATTGAGACAGATTTAAAAATCCATTTAGGTTTGCTCTCTTGTCTTTGAAAGAAATTAGAGTCAAAGGAGGTGCTCACTAAGTTATTTAAATATAAGTTTGAGCCCAGATGTTCTACAGAATATTTTCTGTGTAAACTATTAACTCCTTACTATCTAGCAAAACAATTTCACATGAAGGAATAAGTCAATATTACTGCTGAAAGGAATTTGCCTCCACCACTAAGGGTAGAAATCAGGCCTTTTCAGGAACTTATTTTCCACATCTCATATGTGGTACTTCCTATGTGTCATAGGACATCGACACACAGTCTGATTTCAATGAGAAACAGATGAAAGATTTAAGTCTAAATGTGGCAGAGTCTGTGCAGTAAAAAGTAATGCTTTAATCAAGATAAATGAAGACTAAGAACCAGGTATACATTGTTATAATTGATTGACAACTTTAAAAGTTAATTCTGAGAGGGACCAGCAGATGGTGTAATGGTTACGTCACTGGAGTCCCACATAGTCAACAGCAGTTCAAGTCCCAGACCTAGCAGCTTAAAACTCTCTCTGGGTGCATGTGCATCCGTGTCTAGAATCCCAAGAAGAGCATGGAGGGAAAAGGCATTGTGGCTTGGCCATCCCCCCTAGGGGGTGATTTCTTGTTTTCTCTCTCTCTGGTGAGAACACATGCCCACCCTATAGCAAAAGTCTCTCCAAAAAGAAATAATAATAATAATTCTGAGAATTTGTCAAGTAGTCTGGAAATAGCATTTATTTTTGTCCAAGTCTATGACATACAGCAGAACTTTAAAGGGAAGAAGATAATACGATCCTTGTCCTGAGGAAGCTCCAACTGATTAAATTTATGCTCTAGGAAGCAGTAGCCATTTTTGCCAACCCAGCCCTTCCTCTGGGATTGTGACTATGATAATACAGATCTTTGAGGGGTTACATGAATTTCTTCCCATGCTCAGTAAATTTTCATGCTTCAGTGGCCAATCAGCTCTTTAGTTGTCTTACCAAAGATCATATATCCACTTTTCATTTTGGAAATTATTTCATTCAGAAAGCCTGTTATGAGTTCACTGGATTTTAGAATATGATTATTTGATTTTGAGGAAGTTGTTCAATAATTTTTCATTCCTATGCTCAGAGAATGAAAGATACTGTTTGAGATGCTTCACTGTTACCATTTATAAGACAATACAGGTCATTAAAGCAGATCATGAGATATAATTTATAACTGTAATACATTCTTTAAATGAAACTATGAACCTCTCTATACTTTTCCTGATATCAAGGAAAATCTACATTTACTATTTTTCTCATAATTTTTAATGTTTGCTTATTTACTTATTTCTTCCACAAGTGAGTGAGACAGAGACAGAGATAGCACCCCCAATAGGTCTCAATGCTGCAAATCATCCCAACCTTCAGACAGTTCTGGATAATGAGGAAGCACGTGTCTGGCATGAACAGGAGGCTCTCCAGATTTGACTGGAGCTTTCCCGTGTGGGATTGCCTCATAGAGCATTGCATTTTTCTTCTGCACTTCTGTCTGGCCTCCCATTATATCTCCAACTAAAGTACATGACGTAGAGAAAAGAACATGAAGACAAGCAGGAAAAGAAGAAATTTACTTCTACAGAGTAGAAACTAATTGCTAATTCATGTAAAACACAGTGGTCCTATGTCTCAACCAGTCATTCGCTACTGATCCCTTACAAGCTGGTTCTTTTCCACCTCATACCAGTTTGAGTCATCACTAGTGATCTTGAAGTTGTCACATGCAATAGTCATTTTCCCCCTGTACCTTCTGTAGTCTCAGACTCTGCTGATACTTATTCTCTTTGCTGTCAGTCTATCAGACTCAGTATTTTCCTGATTTTCTTTCTTTTTTGCATATTTTCTTTCCCTCTCTGATGTTCCTCTTCCTTCATACTTTAAACCTATGAGCACAATAAGCTCTGTCTTTGGCTCAATTCTCTTCTTGCTCTGGTAATCTTATAACTTCATTTAACTCCTCCACATGGGTGAGTTAGTCCTGACTTTCCAACAACCATCTAGACAGATGTGCTATCTAGTTTTTTTTCTTTTTCTTTTTTTTAAACCTAGAACATTTGAGATTTCCTACTAGAAATTCAAACTGAATGTATGTAAGGTGGAAATATCACTTTTCTTTTTTCAAGCCTAGTATTTACATGATTTCTAGTTCTATGACTTTCATCATTTCAAGTAGCTCTCCAGTGACTACTGTGAAATCTAAATTCTAAGCCAGATATTCAAGGCTCTCAACAAAGTAGTTCTAACTGTTCTCTAAGTTGTCCTTGTTCATGTATTTCTTTTTGCTAAAAGGTCTTATTCTATGTGTGCCCAGTACTCACTCATCTACATACCTTTTTGTTCATGTGGTTCTTCTTCCCATGCTAATCTTTATCATTGCTCTGACTCACTGCTTTATTTAACCTTTCTACCCTTCAAGCTATATACACAAAATAAATATATTTCACACAGGAAAATTTACAATTACATCAGCGGCAGTCAATTTATTTCCTTGAAAAAACACAGATTTTCTTTCTCTTTTTGGCCATTGGGACATCTCTATATCATAAGCTCCCTGAGGGCAAAATCTCTGCAGTTATTCAACATACCTTTACTGTCTATACCTGACAGTCACAGGTGACCATCAAGCACTAGAAATGTGGTTAATGCAAAATGAAATGTGTGACAAATGTAAAATACACACTGGATGTCAAATAGTATAAAAAATATTTCATTAGTAACATTTTTTCTTTTGAAATTTGCCAGAGGGTGTGTGTGTTCACTGGGAAGAGAAAGGGAGAGAAAAAAAAAAATCCTTGCTTGGGCATCGGTCATGCTACAATCCCTTCTCCTCCTTTTGTCCGTCCTTTTGGGATTTGGTCACACAAGCACACACATCTGCCAGATCCGGGACAAGAACTTCACAGTTGACCATGTGAGATCCAGCTTGCTTAGCCAGGCTATGGGCTGGCCCATTAATACATTTTCTACTGATTAGCTATTAAATCACATTTGGATATACATGGCATCTTCAAAAGGTTTGTAGAAAATGAATGTTTGAAAAAATTGAGAATAGATTTCAGAAATTTTGCACCAAAATAAACTCGCACTTTAATTTTCCATGAACTTTTTGAAGTCCCCATATTGAGTTAAATAAAATTTTATTAATTTAACTTGTTTCTCTTTACCCCTTTTATACTTGATTGCTAGTACTTTTATAATCCCTCACACAAAGCTTGTGTTACGATTCTACTGGACAGCATCACCCTGGGTTCTGCGCAAGGTACTGGGTGGGGCTACAGAGATAAAGAAACAGTTACTTTCTTCAAGGAACTCACATCTGATCTACTGTGATGTACTCAGAGTGGCCAGCACAGGGCTTTCCTCTAGTGGTGAATGTCTGAATATCACAACCATGTCTGGAACTGCAAGTGAGTGGCCTGGTTGGCAAGAACCACTGATTATACTAAAAATTTCTTATGTTAAAAATTCTGGAGACCTTGAAGGCAGGAATGTGGAGTTGTAGAAACTGGCAAGAGTATCTTCATTTTGAATAGTTTTGTATGCATTGGGACTGGCAGTTGGCATAATGGCTATGTCACTGGAGTCCCATGTAGTCGACTGTGGTTTAAGTCCTGGACCCAGTAGCTTAAACTCATGCTGGGTGCGTGTGTGTGCCCAAGATCCCGAGAGAACAGAGGAGAAGGGATTGTGGCGTATCCATCCCCTCAGGGGGTGATTTCTCACTTCCTGTCTTTCTGTCTCTCTGGCAAACATATGTACCCTATAGCAAAACCTCTCCAAAAAAAAATAGTTTTGTATGCATAATAACAAATGTTAGGTTAATAATTTCATGACTTAGGTAATGTATTTATATCCTGACATAAATAGCCAACAGTTTGGGAGAACTAGGCTACCTCAGGTCTAGTAGTGACACCCATTAATATTATTCTATAACGTAGAAGTAGGAACTTGGGGGGGCTGCGAGTAGCTATGTATGCTGATGGGCTTTCTATTTCGGCACATATTGTAATAAGAGAATTAGCTGTTCCTCCACTGGTGAGTACTGCAGACTCTTACCACTGAGAAACAAACCTCAATATTTTAGTCAGCTAGAACCAAAACCTTGCAGAATTTGACCCATGAGGGTGAAATAACCTAAGAATCAAAAGGGAAAGAAAACATGTTTTTCTCTTCCATACCCAGTGCATCATGAAGATACTGCTGTCCCACCAACTTGAGGTACTCTTCAATGGACTTGGTGGCAATGGTGTTTTCTCTGAAGATCAAGACATCATGCTCTCCACAACGGTCCACCTCTGACATCACCAGGTCAGTCAGAAAATCCTGGTGGAACAATGTGTAATCAGGCAAGAAGCAACTAATAAATAACATAGGGTAGAAGACTGATGAAATAGGATATAGTCGGGAAATGCTATTTTGAAACTTACACTACCAGATTCCTTTGGAAAAAAAAAAGGCAGTCAGGATAAAATCTTAGGTGTCACTACTCCTACGTTTCAAATTCCTTCCAAGATTTTTCCATTACATTTTGGTGAAGACCGTAATTGTGAATGCAGCACACAAGAATCGACGTTTCCTAGTGTCTGTCTACCTTTGCAACCTTGTATTGTCCCTTCTCTCTACATTCTGCTCTAGCTAGAAGAGCTGCCTTCTCAGGTCCTCTAATCCACCAAACCCTTTCTACACACACTCTTCTCTATTCATCACAAAGCCTTCTGCAAAAGCCATCCTCTGTTCTGCTCTTCTCCCACCCCTATTGTCAGGGAGATAATTCTGAGATCCTTCGGTTTCAGTTCACCATCATTTCCTCGGTGAAGTCTTCCCTGACCAACACTGGCCCTGGGCCCCAGGAGCTCAGTCCTGGAACTCACGAGCCCAGTCTTCTTGCTCCATGTTCTCATAGTACCATATCTCTTTTTAGACTGCACTTCCCACTGTCACCACACATTCATTTGTGTTATTATTTAATATTGGTTTCCCCTAGGAAACTGTAAGTCCCACGAGGCCAAGGACAGTATCTATTCTGTTCACCACTAAAGCTCCAGCATCCTGTAGTTTCTGGCAGGTGTTACATGCTCTGTGTATAATAGCTACAAATTGATCCATAATATCAGCAAGGAATTTCCTGAGCTCATTTTCTAGGCTGCTGGCCTGTCTACCTGGCCAGCCATTCAGCCATCAAGCCATCATGGAGAGGGAAGGCATAAGGAGAAATAAAGTCCTCAAGAAATAGCTATTAATTCTCCAACAGTCCTAAAGAATTTGATGTAAACCCAATGTTCACGGTTGTTCAGTTTGAAATGTAAATGTTATATAGTTTCTGGATATTTTAAGAGCTTTAAAACCAAAAATGAGAAAATATGCTGATTTACTTTTACCTTAAAATTATGCTCTTAAACATTAATGGTACTTACTCTGGGGCAGTTTAACAGCATAAGAAATCACAGACTCAGGTATCATTATTAAAACATATGCTAACGGGCAGGAAGAAACTGTAAGGAGTGATGGAAACATTCTGTATCTTGATTATAGAGGTGGCTTCAATGCAGGCAGAATCTGCCAAAAGTCATTGAACTTTTTACTTTGAATGGCTGTCATTTAATTGTATGTACATTATATGTGAATCAGTAATTGTAAGAAATCTTACATCCATTCTGAACCTTGGACAATTGAAAAGCTGAAAGAATACATTCATACAATTTCAAAGACAAGACTCAAAATTTCAATGTCATTTCACCCCAAACTCTTAAGCTTTTTTAATGGCAGAAAGCTCAAGATTATTATATATAAATTCAAGCAAAAAAAAGATGATCAATAGGAAGGCAATAAGATAAGGGACTAAATATTGAATACATAGATATATTCTGATTTGCATCGGCATTTTATTTTACTGTTTCTAAATAAATTATTCTAGCTGTGAACTTCTCTGGAACTGAAATACAATTTTACCGTGACCATATAACATAATGGAATATAACATAATGGAAATTCAACTTAGGTGAATATGCTTCTTAGGTCAAAGATAATCTCCTGGTCGTTATTCTTCCTATAATCAGCATATTTTTCTTTTTCTATCTTCCTAAATTTTTACTTCTATTCAGGATGAAATGAGATAAGGTTATCATGAAATATTACCAGTTGTATAACATCCCTTGGTATTTTTATTCCAAGTATAGATTTTTAATCTCAGGAGGACTCTTGCTAATACCCAGCATGCTTCTGGAATACCTCCTTCTGTGCCGAAGGGATACAGTCATAGCTAATGTTAAACAAAAATAGTGAGGGAGAAAACCACCACACAACACTCTAGAACTAAAGATAAAGAATCTTGAATACACTGTTGGGTTGTCACACCAATCCTACCATTTCTTTTGTCAGACAATAGTGATGGCTCTTACACAATATATCTTTAGTTTTGTAATCCCCATCTTTTCTAGATAAGAACTGAGAATAAGTTTTCTTAATTAATTATTTTTCCTATTTTCCTGATGAAGAGCAAAGTACATTTCTCTAATTTAGATTTTCATGGTACCCATGTCTTCATTTCTTTATAAAAGATAGGGAAGAGATTTCACCTAGTGCAAGCCCCTTTTCCACTTACCTTGGCTCTGCCAGTACTCTGAAGAATGTGCACTAGGGCACAAGCCAACTCCTCTTTATTTCTCACACTAATCACTGGCTCAAGGACAGAACACAACATGGTGTAGTTGCTGGTGACAAATTCTGCAAATTCTTTGTATTGCTCCATAGGCAGAATGGTGATAGTTTGGAAACGCGATTTAATCCGAATAGAAGGGCCTCCTGTCTTTCCTTTGTTGGGTGTAGGTGTACTCACTGGATACCACTTCTCCACAAACTGGCGACCAGTCACACTGGCAGTGGGGATGTTGACTAGGCCTACGTAATTATTCTTGTCCTTTTTTTTCTTTTTTTCCACATCCTTATAAATGTGAACTGTGATGCTATGAAGAGGTGGAAGGCTGTAGAATTCAAAATGTTCACCCCAGAAAATATTGTCTGCTTTGGTCTTGCTGGTTGTACGAGCAAAAAGGGTATCATCAAGGCACAGTTCACAGAAATATTTCTTTTTAGGGGCAAGGTCCTTGGCTTCAATGATCCATAAACGGAGAACATTTTCAGCTCGTCTGCAGTTGTCCTAAAAAAGAGGCAATAAAGTTGAATTTGCAAACTGACATCCTAGAAAGAGAACAGTTTCCTCTTAAAGTAGGTGATGCTGATTATGTATTCTTAAGGCGAGTCAAAAGATAATGAAAAGGATTGCTATCACATTGTTTAGGATAGTAGCAAGCTCTAAACAAGAATGTATCAGAATCTAAAAGAACCATTCTATTTTACTTGGGTTAAAAAAAAAAATCATCTTGTAATGGTAAGTTTTCAAATAGCCAGCCTAGTGGCAACTGAACTAGTTTCTGCAAACAAAAAAAAGATAAGTAGCTAAGAAGCTTATGTTCTAGCCTCATTTCTGTCACGTATTAGCTTCTCACTTGGACAAGTTACTTAACTTTTCTGAATTTTCTCATCCCTATTGGTAAAAGCATGATAGTAATATCGGCAGTAAGATGATTTTAGCATAGAAAGGCATAACACCTAAGTGTAGTTTAAAACTGTAAAGCTCTGGTCCACCTGTGGTGGCACAAGTGGAAAGATGCCACCGTGCAGTGGCTGGGGCTGCATGGGAAGCCACGGTTCACTTCCTGGCCTAGTCTAAGCAGGTGGGGGGCAATGGTGTGGACCTGTCAAAATAGCTGACTGGAGAGCTAGGGCAGGAGCATGGCACATGGTGAGACCCTGTCAAAACAGCTATCTTCCTCTCCCCTCCTTGCTCTACTCATTAGCTCTCTCTCTCTCATAGAAAACAAATACTTACCAAACAAAAACACCTGTAAAACTCTATAAAAATTAAGGTATTATTACTCCCTTCTATAATTCACTCTCTATCAACTTACTATTTACAAAGTTGTACATTTTTAGACATTCAAAGCCACTATTACCTTATTTGGTTGAACTGTCCTGCGAAGGTTTTCCATCCACTTATCTCTCTCTGAAGCAGAGTTACAGCTGAAGCATTTACTTCCACTTAAGTAGGTAACCTTCAAGATAAAGATTAGAGATAAGGAAAAGGAAACACAGGATTCAAGAGCTTTACACTTAGCTCTACCACTTAGGAGTTAGGGATAAGCTATGAACCCAAATCATAAAAACATGAAACTCAAATCATCTTTGCTAATTTGGCCATACTTATATCTACATCTATATATACTTTTTGCTTTGTTATGTAGGCAGCATCCATATTCATTTCCAGGCATAAGAACAAAGCCCACTGGGACCAGCAGATGGCATAGCAGTTATGTGGCTGGACTCCCTCATGGTCAACCGCAGTTTGAGTCATGCTGGGCATGTGTACATGAATGTCTGAGATCCCAGAAGGAGAATGAAGGTGAACGAATTGCAGCATGGCCATTCCCACTGCGGGGTGATTTCTCACTTTCTGTCTCTCTGTCTCTCTCTGTCTTTCTGGTGAGCGCATGCACCCTACAGCAAAAACTTCTCCAAAAAGAAAAAAAAGGAAATAACAAAGGCCATTAGAAATTCAGTTGAGGAGGACCAGCAGATGGTGTAATGATTCTGTGATTCTATCACTGGACTTCTACTTGGTTGACTGCAGTTCAAGTCCCAGATCCAGTGGCTTAAAACTCATGTCAGGCATGTGTGCATGTGTGTCCAAAATCCTAAGAGAATGGAGGTGAAGGGATTGTGGTGTGGCTATCTCCTCTGGGAAGTGATTTCTGCTTTCTGTGTCTCTGGTAAGCACATGTGCCCTAAAGCGAAAATCTCTCTTAAAAAAATTCAGTCGAGGAACCTAAAACTGGTCTAATGTTCCAAAAAAGCAAAATTAAAAATCCTTCATGCCACATTTTAAATTACCTACAGATGAATATGCTCAACTCTGCATTAACAAAAAATAACTAAAATAGAAAGAGAGTCTCCAAAGCAGTATATCAGATTTCTCAAGAGTGCTCTCACTATAATACTGTAGAAGGTTATTAAATGAAATGGAAGTAACTCGTATTGAATTATCATCTTTGGAACCCATTTCTCTTCTACTAGACAGTTAGCCTGGTGATTCCCAGTCATTGACTAGGTTAGCCTGACCACTATAATTACTGTCCTTTAAAAATGAAGCCCATTGGGACAGAAGATGGCATAGTGGCTACAGCAATGGACACCCATATGGCCAACTGTGCTTGAGCTTGAAAACCACACCCAGTCCATGCACATGTGTGCCCAAATCCTGAGAGAAGAATGAAGGAGAAGAGACCGTAGTGTGGCCATCTCCCCCTGGGGGAGGGGTGATTTCTCTTTCTCACTCTTTCTCTCTCTGGGAAGTACAAGTGACCTATGGCAGAAACAAAAACAAATAAACAAAAAGCATGTTTGGGTCACCAGGTGGCACGGAAGTTAAAGTGCTGGATACCATGGCTTACTGGGGGTGTGACCAAAATCCTGAGAGGAGACGGGAGATGAAGGGATTGTGGAGTGGTCATCCCCCCTGGGGATGGTGTGTCTCTTTTCCTTTCATTCTCTTCCCCTGTCTTTTTTTTCCCCGCCCCCAAACAAAAAAAAAAAAAAAAAAAAAAAAAAAAAAAAAAAGGAAAAAGAAAAAAGAAAGAAAGAAAGAAAAGAAGCAATTGTCTATATGCTTAGTATATAAACTGGGACTTAGTATATATTGAACCAAGCTCTGCAAATATGAAAAAGTTCAAGTAATTTCTTTTTTCTTTTTTGGAGAGGTTTTTGCTATAGGGCACGTGCACGCCAGAAAGACAGAGAGACAGAAAGTGAAAAATCACCTTCTGGGAGGATGGCCACACTGCAATCCCTTCTCCTCCATTCTCCTCTAGAGATCTTGGGCATGCACACACATGTGCCCAGCGTGAGTTTAAGCCACAGGATCTGGGACTTAAACCATGGTTGACTACATGGGAGTCCAGCAACATAGCCATTATGCCAACTGCTGGTCCCAAGTTCAAGTAATGTCTATAAAAAAGAACACTAGTAAATGACCTGCCCTAAATTGCTAAAGTCTGTTCATATATTAACTCAATCTCAGGTTATAAACTAGTGGATCAGATCAGATTATATTTGCCTAGTACAGCAGCTACCTCCCTTCTACCAGGGAGAAGACACTCCTCAATGGGGTATAGCCATGCCACAATCTCTTCTCCACTGTTTCTACATCCTGTCAGGATTTTGGGTATGTATGCGCATATGCCTGGTGTGTTTTTTAAGCTATCAGGGATAGGATTTGAACCATGATTGACCATGTGGGATCCTGTTCTCTTAACTACCAGGCCATGGGTTAGGCCTTCTCATAGGCAATTGTTAGATTACAGGTTGAAATATTTGAATTAAATAAAATTTTTTTTTTGAGAGGTTTTCACTATAGGGCACGTGTGCTCGCCAGACAGACAGAGACAGACAGAGAGACAGAAAGCGAGAAATCACCCCCCAGGGGGGATGGTCACGCAGCAATCCCTTCTCCATTCTCCTCCATTCTCCTCTCGGGATCTTGGGCACACACGCACACGCGCTCGGCGTGAGTTTAAGCCACCGGGTCCGGGACGCGAACCATGGTCGAGCTTTACACTTAGCTCTACCACTTAGGAGTTAGGGATAAGCTATGAACCCAAATCATAAAAACATGAAACTCAAATCATCTTTGCTAATTTGGCCATACTTATATCTACATCTATATATACTTTTTGCTTTGTTATGTAGGCAGCATCCATATTCATTTCCAGGCATAAGAACAAAGCCCACTGGGACCAGCAGATGGCATAGCAGTTATGTGGCTGGACTCCCTCATGGTCAACCGCAGTTTGAGTCATGCTGGGCATGTGTACATGAATGTCTGAGATCCCAGAAGGAGAATGAAGGTGAACGAATTGCAGCATGGCCATTCCCACTGCGGGGTGATTTCTCACTTTCTCTATCATTGTGCCTGTCTCTCTCTCTCTCTCTTTCCAACATGCCCTAAAACAAAAACCTCTTAAAAAAAAAAAAAAGGAAATAACAAAGGCCATTAGAAATTCAGTTGAGGAGGACCAGCAGATGGTGTAATGATTCTGTGATTCTATCACTGGACTTCTACTTGGTTGACTGCAGTTCAAGTCCCAGATCCAGTGGCTTAAAACTCATGTCAGGCATGTGTGCATGTGTGTCCAAAATCCTAAGAGAATGGAGGTGAAGGGATTGTGGTGTGGCTATCTCCTCTGGGAAGTGATTTCTGCTTTCTGTGTCTCTGGTAAGCACATTTGCCCTAAAGCGAAAATCTCTCTTAAAAAAATTCAGTCGAGGAACCTAAAACTGGTCTAATGTTCCAAAAAAGCAAAATTAAAAATCCTTCATGCCACATTTTAAATTACCTACAGATGAATATGCTCAACTCTGCATTAACAAAAAATAACTAAAATAGAAAGAGAGTCTCCAAAGCAGTATATCAGATTTCTCAAGAGTGCTCTCACTATAATACTGTAGAAGGTTATTAAATGAAATGGAAGTAACTCGTATTGAATTATCATCTTTGGAACCCATTTCTCTTCTACTAGACAGTTAGCCTGGTGATTCCCAGTCATTGACTAGGTTAGCCTGACCACTATAATTACTGTCCTTTAAAAATGAAGCCCATTGGGACAGAAGATGGCATAGTGGCTACAGCAATGGACACCCATATGGCCAACTGTGCTTGAGCTTGAAAACCACACCCAGTCCATGCACATGTGTGCCCAAATCCTGAGAGAAGAATGAAGGAGAAGAGACCGTAGTGTGGCCATCTCCCCCTGGGGGAGGGGTGATTTCTCTTTCTCACTCTTTCTCTCTCTGGGAAGTACAAGTGACCTATGGCAGAAACAAAAACAAATAAACAAAAAGCATGTTTGGGTCACCAGGTGGCACGGAAGTTAAAGTGCTGGATACCATGGCTTACTGGGGGGGTGACCAAAATCCTG